TTTTTTTTAATATTGAAAAAAGGTCTTCAGCGGGATAAATTCGTAACACAGTCAGTTAGTGACCTAATACGGATTCATACAGGGTGTGAAATGGAAATCCGTATTGGGACTCGGCTTCGCCTCGCCCAATACGGATTTCCATTTCAGACCCTGTATGAATCCGTATTAGGTCACTAACTGACTGTGTAACTAATAATGTATTAATGGCACAAGAACTAGTATGAAATGATGACTATAAATGAAACTCCGAATATTCTTCTTTCATCAACTTTTTGTCAATAATTACCTCGTCTTAAAAAATAACTATGTTTTATACCTAGAGCAAGCTCTTGCGTATCGAATCAACTAAGAGATATAATCTCCTTATGCAAGTGATAGGGATATACTGCTGAATAATTAAGGAAAATTGACAATTGAAAAGTTAAAGTAATCAGGTTTATCATAAAGATTTGTTGTCAGATTGCCTTTAACATTTCTTTCTAGTAAAACATCCATATAAAATATTTCTTTAATTTATTGAGATATATAGAGTCGACATATGAAATGAAAGTAACTATTTTTATCAATAAACTTCGATATAATATTTATGGCACACCAAATTCACAAAAATGAGATAATCACAGTTTCACAATCGATAAACTAGGTTTATCGGTTGTAAACTATAGTTTATGAACTGTAAACTATAGTTAACAACGTTAATCTATGTTTCACATCTGTAAACCATAGTTAACGCGATAATCTATGTTTCACAACCGTAAACTATACTTAACACCGAAAACAATCATTTGCGATTGCAAAACATAGATTTTCTGATAAATACAGTTTCACGATTTGTAAACTGTAGTTTACAAACCGTTAACTATAGTTAACGATCTGATAAATATAGTTTCACGATTTGTGAAACTATGATTAACAACTCTTAACTATAGTTAATGATCGTAAATTATAGTTTACAGACGTGAATCTATGTTTATCAACAAAATCTATTGTTAACGTTTCATTACAGACAGATAAACTTAGATTATCATTCGTAAACTATAGTTAACAACCGTTAAATATAGTTTTACAGATGAAAACTATATTTAACGAATCATTAACTATAGTTAACGAATCGTTAACTATAGTTTACGATTTGTAAACTATAGTTTACAGTCGATAAACCTAGTTTATCAATTGTGAAACTATGATTATCTCATTTTTGTGAATTTGGCGTGCGATAAATATTTGAAGTTTTGAGTGGAGGTCAGTGCAAACTATAATATTGAAAATGCTTACATTTATGCTGTTAGAGAAAGTTTAACGACTTGAATTTTTAAAACAAAATTTTAGTACAAAAAAAGATATGACAAGAAAAAAAATGATTAAAAAAAAGAAGAAGAATGAAAATTTTTATACAAATTAAAGTAAACAATGAATGCACCATTGGTTTTACTTGTTTATCAGGTAAATACGAGGGTTGATCCAAAATTAATGTCACAACTTCGATAAAATTGCTTCTAGTCGACGTAAAGTAACAAAATTATACATGATGGTAGCTACATTTATTTTAAATCAATTCTGACTCAAACCGCGTGACACGAATCTCTTTTTCTACTACGTCGACGCCATTGAACATTTCCACCCGACCTCGTACCTTTCGGTCTTTCTGTCCTCAGCTGATCAATTAATTACCCATGTCCCGCCCAAAATCTCTGACACCATCTATGATCAAGTTTAGTTTTAACATTATTTCCTCTGCGAGTCTGATTTACCATCGTAACTGACTCTACTGGCGATTTCCCAATTTTTAAGGGAAAACGCATTAAAACTCCATTCGGCGTTTTATTCAATCTCGACATTTCCTTTCTTCGATACATCAGATATAAACAACAATGTTTATAATAAAAAAACAATGTCGCCAATTTTTATTAACTTAAGACTAGATCGAAATTGTCAATTTTGTCTTTTTTAAAAATATTGGGCGATTGGACGCTTTTTTAAATGCTTTTTTAAATGTGTTTGTCTTTTTCATTCTAACAATATACACTTTAAAACGTGACCTTTAGTTTTGACGCGGCGGCACCCCTATGTTTAATGTTTTAAACGTCTATAAAATGAATTCAATTAAACATTATTAAAGGAAACTTTCAATTTTGATTCGATTTCTTTTTCTGCATCTTTTGGTGTATTATATTTGATAATGTGACGCCTAATATAAAAGATATGGACACAGTGACATTACTTTTGGATCAACCCTCGTAACTGTCAGTTATATAATTAGAATTTTTAGTAATATTTGGGAGAAAAGTCTTAAGCACTGAATATACCCGGTAATTTCAATTATATCAATGAAATGATACGAGACAAAAGTAATGAAAATAAATGTACTTACCTTCATAATTTTATGTACTAAGTGGATATTGACCTGTTTATTAAGGTTACACCTATCAAATGTTTGAAAAGAAGATAAATGAACCCTACACTGTCTGCCAAATACTCACAAGCCAATTAGGCGTTTCAATTCATTTTATTTTATTTAGTACATTGTACACGAAAGCAAGACTTAGTGTTCAGAGAGAGAGAGGAAACAGTTCTGAACCCTAAATATTTGTTATGCGACATTTATTTGTTTGCAATAAACTTGCTCTTGAGTGGTTTATGATTTTAAGGTGAAATGCCCCTCTGCTCCGATTTTCATAAAATCTTTTTTTTTCTGCTCCAGAGTATTACTAGTAAATAAACTAACTAAGTACATAGTTATGCTGAGCAAGAGTGCCTTTACCAAAATTGTGAATTTTATGGTGCCAGGGTCAGGGGTTCTGGTGTTGGGAAGAGGCTCTATTGATTATATAGTGAAAAAACATTACATCTTTGAAAATTTTCTTCTCTGCTCCTGGATATTAAGCAGATGAACTACCAATAAAGTTGGGAGAAAGGGCCCGAATCTCCCAGAATTGTGAATTTTATGGCCCAGGGGTCAGGGATACCATAGGGGGGAGGGCTGTACTTATATACGGAAAATGAATGAATTGTTTGAAATCTGCTTCTTGGTATTAATCAAGTATTTTTGAAAAGCAAGGATGCCTTTTCAAAAATTGTGCAATGTGCTGAATATTACTGATTAGTTGAAATGCATTTTTTGTTCCCCTACCCTGCCTAGTGTATGGGCATTAAGAAACAAACTAAGCAACTGCTAAATGTATAGCTATGATGATCAATGGTGCCTCTTTCAAGATTGTGATTGCTATAGTATCTGGCTTAAAACATGAATCAGATTCAATCACTTGAAAGTTGTTGCATAATGCACAGGTGACCTATATGGCCCATGGGCTTCTTGTTTAAAAAACGTGCAACTTTTTTTAAATGCATGAACGTAAATTTCTAGTTACAAATAATTAAGCAACAACCAATTTTAACCAGTTACATTGCAAGTATACGAGTTAAAAAACTGGAGTCTTATTTACTTGTAGAGACTTTGTGAGCTGTATTTCAAAGTACTTTTTAACAAGGAAAACTGATTTTTTTTTTTTTTTTTTTTTTTTTTTTTTTTTTTTTTTTGTTAATGTGAGCATTGGAAGTTTTAATTAGTATCTTTTCTTCGTATTTTTCTCAAACACATTTCAAAAAATTGTAGATTAATTTTCCAGCAGTCATTTGAATCACATCCTAAATTTCCCTATCCTGGGTGTGTTTGTACTAAAAATAAACATGTAGTAGACCATCATGCTTTTCGGATCATTAGAGATTAGACAATTATTTGCTGTGAGCAAGAATATTTCAATAAGAAATGGTTTAACATCGGATTTGGAGAGAAAATAATTTTTACCAAATAATATTTCATAACTTTTCAAAGCGATGGAGTGGGATTGTCTTTTTTGCAGAAAGTATATAACTTATATAACTTGACGAGACACCACATATTTCGATAAAAATAAAACACTTATATGGCATATATGTCTTTAACCTCTACGCTACGTTTAAATGCATCATCGACGTCTGTCAGTGTGATTTAAATGAACGGGTTTGTTGAAACATACATTTTTTCAGAAATTTGCTATTTTCATGTAGAATGGGTTCAGATTCCATTTTTTGGACTAATGAAATAGATTTCACATTTACGTTTCCATCATTTAAGGAGTTTAATATGTTTAACTGTCAGCTTTGAAATAAATATTATCAAATAAGAAGTCGTTCAGTAAAATAAAATGATAAAATGTTTTGAAGATATTACTGAAAACATTATTTTAGAAAAATATAACTTTTCTGTGAATTTTGAAAATTGATAAACATTTCGTCTCAGGGCGGGGGATTATTCACGCCTTATACGCCCTCTCTCTTTGCTTAAAGTTTATTGAAAGTATTCACAATCATCTGATTTAAATCAATTCTAAAATATATTGTTTAAACAATGGGAAAGTATCCCTTACACTGCTGTTATTTTAATTAGCAGTCCAATACCAGTAATTGATTGCGTCTTTTTGATAGTGAAGTTTTATCAAAGGGGCGATAAACAAACAAACAAACAAAATACAGCTAATTTAATGAGTAATTCAAACAAATACAATGTTGTTACGTGTATTTGCTAAAAGCAGTACATATTTTAGGGTATTTTATATTCTTTTTTTTCTGTGAATTGTTGAGGACGGAATGAGAGATCGTTTAACATATAAGACGTTCTTTATACTACAACTGATCAGATTGAAATAGAAAAGCAAATAAACATTTTAATTCATGTACAAATAATAGATAAATAATGGATATCTTAGATACATCCACATTAAAAAGTATCTCCTTCAAATCGTTTGATTTTTTCATTCTGAACAGGAAATCTTTATGACTATCTATAGAGTTCAGGTAGATTTATTTCATAGTACAAACACACACATAAGGTGTGGAAAATACTGTACTTGTTTGGTTACATGGTTCATTAACATAATTAATGTAATTAACCCACAGTAGGAAGTACGGATAAACCACCGAGCAAACTTTACCCTCGATCACCCAACATTCAGTAAAGTCATGTTTTGTGATCCATTTTCGATTTCTCATTAATCTAACCCTTCGGGGGATACAAGAATAGGCTTTAAAACAGATTTTGGGATCTTTTGTCTTCCTCTGTGTAAAGAATTCCAGGATGAGGAACTCCGGTGCTTTTGTAAGTAAATTCAGAAATAAAAAAATATACTTTTGGTAAAAATAATTTTCATTCTGAATTTTAAAATGCCAAGAGAAACTTGTCGACTATTATAATGCTTTTAATTGTGATTATTGTATTCAAAATTTTATTTTTCTTAACGATTACTGTGAAATTACTAATTTTTGTAGGGGGTTAAAATTTTCGTTGTTTTTAAGGCATGAAGAGACCCACAAATTTTTGTCCACCACGAAATATAATTTTTCACATATATTACTACTAAACAAATTTTAAACCAAGAAATCAAATGAACCAATACATTTTCCTCAAACCACGAAAATTTGACCCCTTGAAAATTATGTGATTTACAGTAACTTCATAAATACCTATACATGTAGATACAAATGTTCGAATCTTTCAAGCATTTGTTTAAATAAGATTTTTATTTTTAAAAGTACTTAAAGTAACATGGTCTAAAATCTATTACATCAGATATATACATGATTTGAAGATAGTAAAATTCGGCAAGAAGGAGTCCAGGTTACTAAAATTTACTCTTTTGAACTTGAAAATGTCTTCACTTTGTCTTTTGTTCAGATGTTTTACCATATTAACACGCAAAAGTATTCTATTAAATATGTGAATTATTTTAAACCTTGTGTTTATATTTCAGGTATTGTTACTTATTTGTATCTTTGTACATGGAACTCATTCATTTCTGTTCCAAAAGACCGCAGCATGTCAGCCTGTAGGAAGTAGGTCACAACTTTTGTCTATATATAGTAACACTATAAATATCAGTAATTCAACGAAACTCTGTAAGTAAGATTGTTCTTCAGCTGAAACCCATCTCATAAAGAATACAATATTGTTTCAAATTTGAATCAATTGTTTTCAAAGAACAATTAAACGGTTATTTATAATTACACACGTATTATCTCTTAATTAAGTATTATATATGATCAGGAGCATATGGCAGGTATAGGTGTGAACGTTTGACAGGGACGTTTAAATCTCTATGGCACCTGAATCCATTTCTATTTTTAGGGGTGATCGTTTGCTCAATCTCGATTTGTATTGATTCAATGGACTTTTTAGCTTGATATCTGTTCTTTCGCTTATATTTACAAAACTCAATGAACTCCATAGGTAATTGTAAAAATAATTTGAACAATAAAAAGAAATGAAAAAGTCAGAAAGACCTTCAATACTGTTAATTGATAAATCGTCTCCCATGTACCAAATTGCTGTATTGAAGGCTACATCAAGATACCTGTTCTTTTCGTGTAGAAGCTTGTTAATAAGTTAATAAGTTCTGCTTATTAAATGAATACAAGAATAGGTCTGTTTATAACCTAATCTTAAAAATGATACTTTAATTTTAATTGTTAGGGTAATTACTGTATAATGTATGATGTACAAAGATGGATTTTCTTTTATTTGATATAATGAAGTACATCTCATTAGAAGTGATTTGTTTTCATGGTTCATTAAACACATTATAAATAATGGTATTAAACTTTCAAATATTTGGCACATCCTTCTTTTTCTTCAAAGGAGAAAAATGTGCTGTTGCTTTCAGAGTAGACTGTTGAGGCTTTCTTATGATGAGTCAGATTTTAACTGTTAATATTAAGTATAAAATCTAACGACATGGAAACTTTGCTCACACTGTAGATAATAGAAAAACAATTTGAAATCGCTGAAATAACATTTGAAACGGCGTTGCAAAATTGTATATATGATACGAATAATATTTACTGATGACGGTGACATAATTAGAAAAGCAGAATTGAATAAGGAATACGCTGCTTGAATTTGAAAATGCTGATTTTAAAATAAGCTAAACTACATTTTTCTAAAATGTTAGTCGTCGGAGAAGGACAAATAATTTCATTAATTAACAATTCGTTATCAGTTCAATTCTTTTATTCTTTATATCATTACATACATTTCATATATTATTTAAAAGTAATAAATACCAGATCATACACATTGCTCACAAAGAAGAAAAATATAAATTTATGCATGTCGCAAGTAAATTTAGATTGAAAATATAAACAAACATTGGGAAATGACATCCATGTAATTTGTTTGAATTACTGTGATATTTAATATTTAAGCTTATTAAGAGTATACATGTACTCTGCATTAATCCTCGGAGGAAAGTTTAATATTTGAGCATATTAAAAGTATACTAGCATAAATTCTCGGAGAAAATTTTAAGACCCTTAAATCCTTTAAATCTCAAATACTTTATAGTTAGGTAATTCAAAATTTCTACATTTTGATCATTTTTTATTTTTAAATGCTATCTCGGATGTTGTAAAAGAAAGTGAACAGTCTTCAAAATAATTCATACTTCATACTTCATACTGTGCATAGACTAAAATTGCATATAAAATTCAAAGACAAAATATTTAATCAAAAGCACAAACTCTTCTTTTAATATTCATTAGCACTAAGTCTTTATAATCAACCATTAAACTTTTAAACATTATAGTCAAACAAAATCTCTCCGTCATCTTCTTATTGCCTGACATTATTTTTCAGAACCATTCTATTTCGGTAAAACCAACATTTGGTGCATGTCCCTATTCCCCAGGCGTGTGTCCCGATCTCCGAGGCGTAACCCGTTCGGAATTTCCCATCGCTGGATTTGGTACGATGGTCATTTTCTGGAATTTGGAACACGACCACATTCTAGTGTCGTAATCAGAACCACGCATCCGATGGTAGGAGATTTCTGTCCAACGAAAAGGGAGAGGAAACCAGCAGGCTACAGTGTATTACCGGTGGAATGTATAGTCGGATGCGCACGCAACTATGAGAGAGTGTATGGAAAATTTAGCAAAACGAAGAATAATTGCCATATGTTTACGAACAGGATGGCCGAAATTCTCTGCCACTATACCGTCTGTCCACACTGGTGTTTAGGATGAAATATTTACTGAATAAAAGGAGAACGTTAAAATGTCTTTATTTTAAATCAAATTTTCATCAATGGATCCAAATTGTCCTTTCTCAATAACAATTAATATGTTTTGGTTAATTTTGACAATGTTAAGGACTTTTATGTATTATTTATTTTTAGTTTGTGTCATTTTAACTAGAATATAAAACTAGATTGCACGTTCAGATAGATTTCCCAAAACGAAAAAATATGAAGCGGCACAAAAAACTAGGTCACAGAGCAAAGTATATAAGAAGAGCAATTGACAAAAACGATAACTGTATACACGGCTGCAACCACATCCCGCTGTTGTCGTATCCAATACCTGCATCTATAAATAGAAAAAGAGAGATACTCCTGTAAGTCTTCAAATAAGCATGAGTTTAATAATTTATTCGTGCGTTTGGCTGCTTGATGTCGAAGTTGTTTGACAAAAAGAACCTAATTCTTTCAATGTTGACTTTAAATGCAATGAGTTTTTTTCCAAACAAATTTCATTTTAGCTTAAATTCGTATCATGATGGATAATAAATATAATATGTCTAAAAGTTTCTTTCACAAGTAGAACTTACTGAATTCAAGAGGATAAATGAGTCAATCTCTCATGCAATTATTCTAACGTGGTATTTATAATTTAATGACTATATGTGTATAGTTTAATGGATATTATCCCGATATCTAAAGGATTTTGTTTGTTCATCTTTCACATGTTTCTTTCGATTAAATCTTTTTTAATATTTCTTATAATATTTGTACATTTACCTTCGCCGATTCTTAGCTATAACAATTTCATTTTGTATAAGAACAAGATGTAATTAATGAAACATCAAATTGGTTTCTTCATAATGTGCAAGCTTTAATTTAAGGTACCCATTCCGGTCAATTGTAATAAAAGTACTATGTTCACCTGGAAGGCAGTTACACAGGACTTTGTATAATTTTTAGAATGAAAGTTGAACTGCAGCAAATAAGAGAGTCAGAAACCTTCTAAAGACTTACAGGGACAGACTTGGCACATTGTGGGGCAGTCCTGGGGTACATTAGAGTACGTGTCACAGGCCTGGCGGGTAAACTGTCTGCCACACTGTGGCGGGTCTCTTTGGCCGGTGCAGTTTACTGGACAAAAAATCAATCACGTCTTGATAATATTAGTTATATGTTAAGGATTGTTTTAAAATACTGTTTTGGTCGGTGCAATTTTACTGGACAAAACAAACATTTTATATCTTGTTAATTTCAATGATACTTTAAGCATTGTTTTAAAATACTGTTTGGATTTTTGAAAATATTCATTAAAACATAGAATGGCAGTAAACTATAAAAACAAATAATTGTCCTTTTGCATTGTTTCTATTGGTAATTTTTATACTGCTAGTAAAATTGTCCTTTCTCAATGTTTTGTGTCATCATCAAACAGTTCATTTACTTATAGAAAATGAAATGATATAATGTCAGTACTCACAGTACTAGTGGACTGATAACAGTACTCACATTGACAGTTAGGGCCGATGTAGGTTGTACGCGGGGGTCTACAGGTACATGTACAGCTGTTAAAGTCCATCGTGCCGCCATTTTGACACACCTTACCTTGACAGTCTGAAATACACCAAAACTAATGTCAAAATTACTTCGACAGGGAAACAGTCATTGCATCTATATTATGGGTGTAATATAATACTTAATTTAATGTCTATTATGTAATTTCAAAAACAGATGTCAGAACTTTTATGTATATAAACAATGTTGTTTCCTCTGCAAAAACGACATACCAATCAACATTGAAATTTATTAAGAATGTTTCCACTCAAGCATAGTGCCGTGGCCCCTTTTACGGACCCCTCTAACTTTATCTAATTAACTCAATTGTTAATCATTTTACACCTAACTCATACTTTGTTATCTTTGTGGTATATTAATTGTAAAAATTCACACTGAAAACGGCGTCTTAGTTTTATAAATGGTAATTTAAAAAGCCATATACTGGGTGTTAATTCCGGAATGTTGCGCTTGTCCGAGTTGGGTTTTAATTGTGTCACATTAATATTCAGAGTAGGCGGGGCATTTCATCGATCGATTGAAAACATGTAATATTTAGCCAGTTATAATGGCTTCTGGAATTTAATACAAAATACAAACTGTATACAGAAAAATAAACAAAGAATTTTTCAAGGGTTACGCCAATTTTTTTTTAGTAAAAATGGCACTGGGGAGGATTTTTGAGATGTATATGACCCCTATAAATCCAGATCCCCTATCTTGTGGTCGTTGTTAGGTGGAAATTTAACATTTCATTAAATAAACTGAGCTAGCCTACTTGTATATGAAAACGGAGAAAAATCATATTTAAGAAAAACTTCTATATTTTCGAAAAGATTAGTGCCGTATTGAAATTTTAAATCTCTCTCTCTCTCTCTCTCTATCTCTCTCTTTGTACTTTTTAAAGTACAGTAAATACCCGGTACTTCTTACAAATAATGGTGAACGGAATATTTTTTTTTGTGATGCTGCAAGTGGTGATACCGTATTTTGTCACTAAAACAATTTTATTAATTGTATGTGTGATTGCCTTTTTTTTTGGGGGGGGGGGGGGGTTACCAGTAAGAATTCCATGCAAGTGTTTAACAATCTACGTATTTCTACCCCGTGTCCTTATATTTTTACAGTCAAAAACACTTTGAGGTATGAAGCTACTTCGAAGATGGGAGCTACATCTTTGAAACTGATTGAGCCTGCAAACGTGCCCCCCTAAATCCAAGGACTAAAATTAAATATCGTTACATTTTTTTTCAATTTAATATTCCATCACCCTATTAAAACACTTGACAAAAAGAAATAATTCTATGTTGATTGATTGAAAATATACATGTGCATGTAACGGTCTAAGTTGGACGCGTTTCGACGGAATGTTTATCGGATCTACAACCACGTGGTTTATTGATTTTTTTGTATTCACAGAGTTACCTGAGTCTACAAATCACGTGGTAAATTGGAATATTAAACAGGACACAATGAGGTCAATGTCATGTAAATACCCGAAAACAGTAAAGAAAACTGTTGGCGTTTTGTACCTTTTTTCAAAAAGTTTACCCCGAGCGCAGGCTCAGTGGCGGATCCAGAGGGGGGGTTACGGGGGTTGCAACCCCCCCCCCCCTTTGGATTTGCTAAAAAGAAAGAGAAATAAGAAAGTTCCAATTTTTTGTTGTGTTTTTACTACAGAAAATGTAAGGTGAAAGGTTAATGTTGTAATATATAAAGAAATTCGGTTGTAAAAACAAAATAAAACCCCATCCCTTTACAAAATAGGATTTTCAGGTTCGGAGATTTATTTTCCTTTCTTTTTCAAAAACTTTCTGGTAATGTACACAAGTACTTTTTCCCAGATTGATCAACGTCCCACTTTCAAAAACCATACTAAACCCTGTATCGATATTCTATTGAGTTATTTAACTATATATATATACATTTGTGGTATCTCTCCATTATATAAACATACAGAGAGAAAATATCTTCAATTCTGTATGAAGTTTGTCAAAGGTCAGAGGTCAATACGTGACCTAATCACACGGCGCAATAATATCTACCTGTACATAAATTATAAAATGCCCTGCTCTAATTCCTTTTCATGTATAAAAAATGAACAAAATAAGCAAGTAAAATTATAATTATTTTATTTACAAATTACAATGTAAACAAGTATTTCATACATTTTTTTTTTTGGCTATCGATTCAACCTGTGTACATAGAGAAAACTAGCGTTTGTTGACATTTTACTTCACTTTTGTCAGCTGCAGAGTCTCTAACGTTCATCCTTATTTTTGGGGGTAGACCTTTGGTTAAATTTTTTAAATGATAAAGTATTATTGTATCTGTAAATTCTACTCACGATAAATGTGTAAATCTTTTGGAAAATATAATTGCAATCATGCCATGAACAGGTGCCAAACACCTCGGCGTTTTCGTAGTTCAATGTGTCGCCAGTGTCTCCGTGTTTATTAGTGTTTTACGATAAGTATGCCTTTAGTTACTGAAATCGTAGAATGTTTTTGATCAAATTGCAAATTAACTGGCTCGGACAAGTGTCTCAAACCATCGGATCCATCAATTTCTTTCCGACGACCGAAATTCCTCCAACTTTTTATCATCAAACTTCGGACGTATTTCTTGTGTCTTTTCAGCATCGATTATCAATTTTCACGAATAAAAATATTCCCAGACAACAATCTATTCACCATTACTGATCACAAGTAGCCTTTCACAAAATATTCCCTTCGAAATAGATTCCTTAGCCTAATGAATTCGAAGCGTAACCGCCATGCAAGCCGATTTACACTTCGCCTGTAGGCGAAAGCCTGTCCACTTCTCTAAAGAGAATAATTTACACCTTGCGTCATTTTTCAAAATCTACGGCGGACGGTTAGTGCAATAATTTAAATTCGAAAATATTCAATTGTCTGTCTCAAATGTATATATAAGTAATAAATAACAGTTTATAAACTTCAATGGGAATTGAAGTGGGTCGGTACGTGATCAAATCTTCTGAGAAGGCCTTCGGCCTTCACAGGATTTGATCAGGTGACCGAACCACTTCAATTCCCATTGAAGTTTATAAACTTGTTATTTATTTCTTAAGTATTGTACAACGTACGTTTTAACTGTGTTCGCCTTCAACCCCCCCCCCCCCCCTTTTGAAAAAAACCTCAACCCCCCTTTGAAAAATTTCTGGATCCGCGCCTGAGGCTTGCCCAAAATTCTCCCTTAAATATGTTGAATTTCCAGCAGTTCTACACCTTCTGTCCTTTTGAGAAATTTGGGCAAGCATGCGTTCACTATGTATTTCATCTCTAAAAATCGGAATAACTTTGAATAACAATAGAGATTCGTGATTTGCATTGACCCCTCTTACAAAACACAGCCTCGTTCTTTAATAATACTCACTTTTAATTTCTGTAATTTTGCAAAGTCGCGATATAGACCTTGAAGAATTGTTTTATTAATTTCATTAGGCTACTTTCTATACCTTATTTTTGCGCAATTTACCGGGGGCCACGTTTTGTACACTAAGTGCAATCATTCTTTGCTTCAAATACTTGACATTTGCATATGGTTTACTACAGCAGCAAAAGAAACTTTAGATTAAGGATATGGTTTTATAGCATCTTGGTTTTCTGCCATTTAAAATGTCATCGAAATAAGTTAATAAAATTAATGCATATTTATCGTACCATACAATTATTAATGGAACGAATTATGAATAGTATAAAGCTTACCACACAGCTTATTTCTGCAGCTTCCTTGACAATCACTACAGGCGGTGCCAGATTCATAAGGATTGTTTATGTCCTGGATTCCTCTGTTAAAATATTATAATTCATTCAGATACTTAATGTTTAATTTGTGAACAAATAAGACAAAATTATTTGCGTTTCAGAAAACTGATTAAGTTTGCACATGAATAAAGGTATCGTCCATTTTTTTTTTTTACCAAGCACGACATTATGCATAGTATGTTTAAAGTTCAGGCGACCGTTTCACTAACAGGTCGTAGCTCGTAAACGTAGACGTAAACTTGAACGTTGCACGTAAGAGCGTTTCACTAAGAGTTACGACTTGTGAGTTACGATTAAACGTGATCGTAACTCTACGAGTGGTCAGGGGCACTCTTAAAATACTTACGTGCGAGTCATTTCATGAAAAAAATAAATAAAAAACGAAAATATAAGCAAGAAACTAAGTTATTTGTCACTTTCTTACATTTCTGTCTGCTTCTTATTAAGAGTCAAAATCAGCAAGCATCGAGCATTTAGTTAAAAAATGTGGAAAGTGGCATAGAAACAGATTAGGTTAAAACTCATATATAAATTTTCAGAACAAAGGGTATAATAGAAAAAAGCAAGCCAAAAATAATTTTTCGCATTGTTGCTATGGAAACCACGCGACTTTCAAATAGCGTGTTTTGTACTTTATCATGACACTTGAATTTATGGTTAAACAAATATTTTTTATTACTAGTCATTAATAAAAGCTTTTTAAATTATTATTCTATTTATCTAAAAATACTCTATTTTAACAACTGCTAATTATTGAAATTCTCTTCACCTTTTGATAAAAAAAACTAGTTTTTGGAGGTTTATTTTGATTTAAAAAACAGCAAATTTCCAGTACTCTATAAGAAATCTACAACCACATTAAAGCTTATCAACATAAAATATATGTTAAACAGTATTTGTCCTAGAAGAATCAAGAAAAAAATCTGCAGGCAACTAAAGCATTTATATATGATAACTGATTTAAATCCATAATTTTCTGTCTTTTTTGCTTCAAATTACCTCCCTTTGGTATAGCTCTCTAACATAGGAGGAATGAACGGTGGTTTGCTTACATTGTTTTCAATAACAGTGTACAGAAGACTAGAAGAAAATTACAAACTTGGAGCAGTCTGAGCCTCAGTTTTGGCGTTTTCATGAGTCTTAATTACGGTTAGTGACTGAATTTTTTTACAATTTACCATTACAACAGTTTCTGAAGAATGTATAACAAAAATTAACCATGCAGGAAAATATGTAACACTTAGCAAGTGTTTTTTTTTTTTTTTTTTTTTTTTTTGCACATTTCAATTTAATTCTGATTTATTATATATATGTTAGCATTACTTTAGTATTTTATAACTAAAAAGAAAAGATTATGCATGGCCTGAGGAACCAAGAGGAGGGGGTATGCCCCTCCTTCCCCTCCCCGATAATATTGCCGATATTAAACTATAATAATTATGATAAAATGAAATTAAATTCCCCAACTTAGATTGTTTCTGCGGGCCGAACGTGAAAAAGTTGGTCATGATCAGTTACATAACTGTATCCCAAATTATAAAGTTTAATTTGAATTTAGTTTAATTTTGATTTGTTGTATTCACAGCATGTGTGTAACCAAGTCACTCACCAGCTATAATGATTATAACTTGAGTGATGGTCGGGTAAATAAAAATTCTGTATATAGTAATAGATATCTTTATTTACCATTTAAGATAATACCTGCGTTTTACATAAAAAAATTATGAATTTATGAAAATCAACACTATTATGAAATATTTGTAAAATGGAATGACTTTTGTTATGGCGTCGTAAAAAAAGAAAAAGGGGCAGGGGGTTAACTCTGTACTTAAGGGGGCCGACTATAGTTTCCATTGCGCAATATTTCGCGCATCATAGTAAAATGAAGCGTAATTACTGTTTTAATGCAACTTTTTTCGCTTATTTACTAATATTAAACAAAATTAAGAAATTATAGGTATAAAAATGTAATTACAATTTGATATAACTGATTTTTTAACCGATGTTGCAATTGATAGGTAGGTTGACGTCGTTGCAGTGTGTTTTTGACGTTATGATAATTTGTAGCTCTTAAAGAAAGGGGTAATAAAAATATTGTTAGAGAAAAAGTAACTAACATAGGCTCTTGAAATTTCAAACATATAAATTTGAAAACATTTCCAATATTTTATTATGTTTTCATGTGAATCCATAGTGTACCTCAAATTTTGTAATACTCTATAAAAATAGTAAAATTTTCTAATTTTTTGCATTTTGAGATGCCCCCTCTGGTAACAAGACGGTAGAATTTTGTGTTTCTTACATATATTGTATAATGTAGTATTACTCATCAAATATTATAGTTTGAACAAAATGTCTATTGTAGTATTTGTATAATTTGCTTTAAAGTGATAAAAATTAGCATTTTCCTATATAATCCTAGAGTAAATGTACCTGCATTTTGAGACGGTCCCTCAAAAATACCTGGACGGTAGATTTCCCCCAAACTTTGCATATACACTGAAGTTAATGTAAGTTATATATGGTATAAAAATGAAGAGTTTCGTTATTGTAGTTTTCACACAATAAAACTATAGTCGGCCCCCTTAATATATTTTAGTTTAGGAAAGTGGATTACCTTGGAAGTATTGTGATACAGACAAGTATATAATGTAGTGGACTAGTGGTAACTGAATTGTATATATACCACAGTAAAATAATAAATTGAAAAAAAGGTTTTTGCTGAAGTCATCCAGTGTTTACTTATGAAAGAAAATTCATATTCAGCTAACATTTTCACGGGTACCACTGAACTAATTTAAGTCAACTAGGTTCAAATAATAAACATCATTAGAATTACAGCACATAAATTTTTGAAAAGAATTTCTATACTCTATTTTTTCTTGGGGGGGGGGGGGGGTTATTGGAAATAAATGAAAACCACAATTTAGAGTTTTGACAAAACCTAGAACCAATTGACCTTTTTATTACAAGTTTATAAATTTAAAGAATATCTAAAATCAATACCGTCTCAACTTTGTGTCGTATACTTCTGTTTTTAGAATGAAATTCGCCACTTTGAAGCCAAACTCGGAAAGAAGCAGAAACAGAATTGGATGAGCTGATATAGAATTAGAGAGGAAAAACGTGTAAAAAATACATTTAGTAAAAACGTTAACTTTTTAAAATAAAATGATAAACTAAACCATTGAGATCTTTTGGAATTTAATTGATTCCAATAAACATGCTTTGCATTCATCATCATTGCTCAAGCTGAACTAGAAATGATTCTTAGTAAGTATCTGAAGGCAAAGCTGTATAATATTATTACATTTTAATTTTATCACTTTTTCAGATTATCATTATGAGAATACACCATTACAGTACAGACCACTGGTGCTGGAAGTGAGTGGATAGTGTTACCGGAGACTCAGGGATCCAGAAAATAGGATCCATAAATTGTACAGTGTATTCATGAAAGTGGATCAAATAAAAATGTTCAATCCAAAAGTAACATTCTTTGTTTGTCTGTTAGCATTTTTTTTATTGATGTAAATCTAACAAGCTAATTCAGAGAATTTGTGTCCCCCGCTTAGGGAAAAAGTAAACCATGCGCAGTTCGGGGCGGGGGTGGGGGGTGGGGGGTCGGATCCCCCTAATTGAATTTGTAGAATTTTTAAATGTACACATGTATACTGAAGCAAATAAAATATGTCAATATTGATATAATGATTTGATTATGTGTATAGAAGGTTCATTTTATGTGGGTGTTGCTAAAACGCGGAACGGAAAACGGAACGGAAAGCGGAACGGAACGGAAAACGGAATATATTATTTTGGATTAAATCACTTTAAATACACAAATTTTATCATAAACGATATATCTTATACACATTCAATCCTCCACTATTTTATACAAGTTGATTTTGTCATGCTCAGTCTCTTATTTACGAAAATCGCCAACATATAGCAGTCACCTAGAATCGAATTTGAAAAGGGGGGGGGGTAAACGAACTTGAAAAGTATTTTACAAGCAAAAATACAAAAAAAGACAATTGTTTGATTTGGGAGGGGGATAAAACACAAAAAGAAACAATTGTTTGATTCGGGGGGAGGGGGGGGGCTAAGTTCCAACTCCAAATCTTTCAGTAAGTAATTTTTTGCACTATTATAAACTTACTACATTAATTACATTCACAAAAAGTTTGAGGATGTGAACTTGAACGAACATTTCCCTAGTGAAAAGGTTATGACTGGGGGTGGGGTCAAATATTTTATATCTAGATGAACCATGGAAAGAGTAATAAAATGTAAAAAAAAAAAATTATTAAGATTACGTTTAGGGCAAACCTTTATTATGGCATGCTCGCATACAGATCTCTTATACACACTAGTTGTTAAAATTTCATTCAAAATAGAGTCGTTTTTTCGATAGACAAAGCTGGAAAACTTTCATGTGGTAGATATAATGCAGAATCTTTGCATTCAATGAAGTTAAATTTTGTTTGTTTGCGGTACATATGTGAATATGCTAAGGGATTGTACATGAATGACCCCGTAAAAATGAGTTTGTTTTCCCGCTCATCGACAAGATCTGAGAAGTTGTGATAGGTCTGCCCCCCTTTTGTGTCCAAAATATACGCAAGGTTTGATAAATCAATTTTAAAGTGGCTGTTGGCCCCTACACAGACCCGAAACTGTCACTCCCCCTTTCATGATTTGCGAATTCGACACTGCGTACATAATTTGAATATCATAACTAATTTTAACTACTTAGTTATCATACTTAAATATTTTTGTAATTATATACATTGACATTGGAAACAAATTGAAAGAGGGGTGGGGGTAATTAAAAAAAATTCCAACATACAACAAATTTGAGAAGCAAAAAAGAAGGATATGCCCTTTGCTGAAAATCCTATTTCGTCTGTGTGTGTGTGTGTGTGTGCGTTTTCCGTTCCGTTCCGCTTTCCGTTCCGTTTTCCGTTCCGCGTTTTAGAAACACCCATTTTATGTGGATTATTTATCACAACGTAATGATGAT